ATTGGAGGAACCCTTTAGAACCGAATATAACATTTGAGGGCCATAATGAAATCATAATAAGGTCGTATACAAATCTCCGTAAAACATCTTTGTTTTTGTTTCCTTTACACAATATCTTGTGAAGGAAATTCGCCAAAGCTTTACCTACTAGATCTTGCTCCTCAGTCCCTTGTATTTGATTTGGTAGGTTCTAGCACCTTATAAATTAATCAACAGGTAATGCATAAAATACTTTCCTGATTACACATTAAGGATTCAAACTTTTATAATCGTACTTAAAGTTAGAGAATATATAGCGGTGCACCTTTCTGATTTAGACGTATGTTTTTCTCCCTTTAATTTCTCTTCATCTAGTTAGAATCTCTTCTATTATATGTTAGCTTCGAAATAGTGTAAATACTGTGGATTGAATGTTAGCTCCATTTGGAATAGCTTCTATATATTGAAGAACAGACCGGATCGGTCAATTCGATGGGTCAAATAGCGAATCGATTATGCCTTTGGGCCGATTCAATAAATAACCCAAAGAATCATTGACCCGATCAAACCAGGTCAAGAACCGATTGAACCGATAAAAATCGAAAAATTCAATTGATTTTTATTAAATTTTATTTTCTAAAATAAATATTTTAGTTTTATTCAAAATTATTAATACTAAAATAAATAAAAAAAAATTATTCAATCTTTGAACCGGAGTTAAACTGATTAAATTGGGTGAATCGCGAATTGAAAAGTTTTCCGATTCATTCTCCAATTCGAGTCTAAACACATTGCAAAAAGGTCAACCCATTTGTCGTTTTGGCCTTGAGAAAGAAGAGAAGGTTATAGTAGGAGATTCTGCGAATTGACCCTTTCTCACCTCTTTTGCATTGGAGAGGAGGTATGGGCTCTTGAAAAATGGGCCTGAATGTTTGATGTTTCGCATTTTCTTCAAAAACCAAATTAGGCTTCAGTAAACAAATCACGTGAACCATTTTTCTTCAAACCGGGAATAGGAACGGCAGCAGAGCGCCCGGGGTCCCATCTTATTAGTCCGGACAAATTACGTAACAAGTCTAATAATGTCTAGGATCAATGAAATGCCGTTAATTGGACACATAAGTACCTTCTCATTTAAATTGTATTTAATTTGAAATAATGGACTACACAATCCTTTTGAAACATTTTTAACGGTCAAATATCAACTAATAGACTTGCTAAGTAGAAGGACTAAAAAATGGATTAACTTAGTCGATACTCGAATTGAGTTCGACTTGATGAGAGATTGTTTCGCTAACTAATTAAGCCAAATTTGAATAACATTTTGTATTGTATAACTTTCAAATTCGATAAAAATTTCGTTCAAACTTGATTCTACAATTAAAACAATCTTTCAGCCTTACCAAAATTTCAAACTTGAACAAATTTTCATAGTCGTTAAAATAATCAAACAAGTTTAAACATTCGAATATTCGATTTGATTAGATTTATTCATAGTTCTACCAAGTAATGGTTTGGACCGACTTAAAATTTCTCCCCTACCACTCCTATGATCCTATCCCTATTCCCAGTCCACTTCGGGGAGCAAAGGCATTGATTTTCATTGCATTTGATTTGAAAAATTTTATCAACGGGTTGCGGACATATAGAGTTTCAAGATATTTATTTATTCTTATTGGGAAGAAGTACTCCAATATACTAAATTTATAGAAGTTAGGCCTCACATCAAAAGGTCCACAAAGTAAAGCCAAACAACTAGAGTACATTCATACATAGCAGCATCTACAAATTTTCTGGGCACCTCACCCCATTTTAGTCGTCCGAAAATATTTCCCTCCTCTCTTACGCTACCCACTTCTTCAAATCCATTTGTCAAATAATTTTTCTTTTTTAATGGTCAAGCAAAGCCTTCATTGGCAACAAATTAATCCGTTTAATTAAAATTAATTGAAAGTAATCTAGTTTTAGGAATTGAATTACTTTAAGTTATCTTCTTTCAATGATACGATACATATTTGATAGCCCATCTACGATGCATGGAGTCTGTATTAGAAAGTCTGAATGGGAGCATTTAACCCAACTTTTTTTCTTTTTTTTTTTTGGTTAAAGGAATACTCCTAATCTTATAAAGTAGAAAGGGAAAGGTTTGAGAGTTAATTCAGAGATCATACAATCACTGATTATTATCTCTATTAACATCTCGATTCTAAGGACTCGAGATAGCTTTTTTTACGTATATCCCTGGGGTAGCTTTCTACATATAGCTCTAACTAGTTCCATTAATTTTGTATTTTGCAACCTACTTAATTTCATTCTTAATTAGAGCATTTCACCGATGTTGTCTCTTTTTTTGACCAAAAAAAATTGAAAAAAAAGGTTTGTTATCCTGCCTCCAAATGAGTCTAGATGAATATAGAGTAAATAATTTCTATAAAAACATTTTTGCACAATAACTTTTGTTAAGGGTTTGAGCACGGATACATTGCCAATTCCTGAAAATAAGTGGGAGTTTATTCGTCAAAGGTTCATAAGGCTAATCAATAATTATATTAAAAAATATATATCTTATGAGATTCTAATAGTATTGCACTCCCTATTTTTGTTACAACAGAAAATCAATCAAATGTTTTAATAAAGGTAGGGTCAAACTATCATTGAAGGTGATTCTCTATATTATATACATGAAATTCACTTATTTACTGGTACAATTATGAGATTATGCACTCATATTCAGCGAGTTGTGTCATGGATCGCGTGTCAGGTGAATTATTAGACTCACAATTAGGTCTCACCCAAGCCATCGAGCCCTATCACACTTGTTAATTAGCAGTGTCAAGGTCCGCCATGTCTACAAAAGCACTTTTATTCAGCTCGTTTATCACGTTTATTTTTTTTTTTTGGTCACTTGTCATCATCTACGTCTACACATACTCTCAATCCTAATCTAACTTATATTAGGGGGTGACCCAACAGGGTCATGGAAAACCGATGGGAGGTCAAGGGTCGACACTACAGGTGATGGCCAGCTCCACTAAAGGGAGTTGGTTTCGTTTATCACGCTTACACGTTAAATCAATTTTCAAAACAGAAAAATTGGAGCATGCAACTAATATTTGGGGAAATGGAGCCTTTTTTATTCCAGTTCTGTTCAGTTATATAAATTGATTGACAAAAAGATGATGAGGGGTATTTTTACTTTAGATAAGTACAGTATAGCTAAAAAGTAGTTTTGTAGGGCAAAATAGTAAAATTGTACTGTTATTCAATATTAGAGGTATTATCCTAGAGAAATAATTTTTATTTCAAGATTTGTTAATTTAACTTTTTATACCCGTTAGACTAAAGTACCTTTCCCTATTTACCAATTGTTTCACTAACCAATCTTATAGAAAAATAAAAGAAAGTTAGAATAATTAAAAACTATTTTTACTTATAAAAGTAAATACATTACAAATAAGTTGTTTTGTACTCTAAAATAGCAAAATTGCACAGTCAAAAGTAATTTGTTGCTCCTCAATTTGGTAATTCAAATTCTTTTCATCGTAAGACAACTAGACAACCTTTCCCTTTTTCAAAACAATTTCACTTATAAATTATGAAGAGAAGAAAATTAGAGCGATTCAAACATTTTAAATTTGATGATAGTAAATGCAGGTCAAGAAATCTTTTTGTAGGGCTAAATATTAAAATTGTACCACCATTAAACAGCAAACCGAGGTCCTCAAAAAAATTTTCTTTATTTCATTGATTTAGTCATTTGGTTATTTGTCTCCCATTATTTTGCACAAACAATATTTAAGTAATAGTAAAATTGGGGATCCTGCAAGGCCACAAAAAAAATTAATTAAAAGAAATATTGTGAACGTTATCATGCTTCTTCTAAAACGAATTTTGGTAAGGCTTTAAGCTCCAACTGGTGCTTTCCCTTAAACCCTATATGTTTCCAAGTGGTGGTTAGGATTGAACGGAGTTAGGGAACACTCTTGTAGATAGTCATACTAGTCTATGAGATAAGAGGAGATAAACATTGGGGGAGAGAAAGAAACCATGCAAAAGAATAACATATGTGGGAAACTAATGTTAAATCTTTTTCTAGCAGAGAGGGATGAAATTTATGAAACGACGGAATTTTTTTTGCTAGCACGGGAGGAGTGAAATTTAAGAAGTAAGAAAAGAGCAAGATGATTAAAATCTAAAACTTATAATTTATGAGATTTCAATTTTAATAATTTTAATCATTAGATCAAAATCTTCTTGATCGGGATATGTCGGAAACCAGTCAACCAAGTTGCCAGTTTCAACTTTCATCTAACGGCGCCGTCCCTATTAACAGGCAGCGGCGCTAAGACTGTCCCCAAACTTTGTCCCGCCTAAAAAAAAAAAAAAAGAAACTACTTTTTTGAGTGTAAAAGGTCCTTAGAGCATCCTTACCTCCAGTATTCCATATTCCTTGTGCGTTTAATGTTATTGCCAAACAAATTCATCATGAATTCCCTATTCTCTTCGTTAGGTTAGTCAAAAAAGTCCTATAGTCTCAATCAACTTTCCCGCATAACGAACTTTATGCTTTTTGAATGTCTTTCTCACCTAATCTAATACTTAAATTTAACTAGTGATGAAGCAATATTACAAATGGCAAAAAAATGTGAAGAGTCGTCCGATTTGAGAGAAGCCAATGAATGTAATGGTGGGAAAGGAAAAACAATATCCATCCATTTGAGATTTTTTTTTTTTTTTTATGGAATAAAACATCATAATTTCATTAAAATATGTACTATTTACGGTAATTGTAATTTCAAGAACATCTATGCATGCTTCCAAACATATAAAACTACAACATAAAACTTGAAAAAATATTTCAAAAATATAAAATAAAATAATCATAATGATGTTACTAAGATAATTCCATATGGTTACATACAATAAGAACAAGAAGAAAGTTGCACATTAAACTTGCCACGACTGAACCAGATATCTGGCTAAGCCATTGTATGCTTCTAACTCAAACTTTACAACATCAGCAGGTACTCCCCTTTGATCGAGTTCTTCCTGCAAATACCCTTGCTCATTAGAAAGTTTATCATCTACAGTCTAGAGATGGCAAACATCATAGTTGTATTTCCTAATAAACGGATTGTAGAGACTGTTTTGTGTTTCTCTATCTTTCTTTTCTGTTACCTTCCGACAGCATTTTGTTCTGGATTTCTGCAGAAGCTTTATCTTCCAGTTCCTGGCCCCGAGTCCTATGCATTCGATTCTGCAGGTCGAGGACCATACGCAAGCCTTGCAGATGGAAGGGTTTTCAGATATCTAGGGCCTGCCGTTGGCTTTGTCGAGTATGGATACACCAAAGCAGATAGGCAAGAATTCTTTCTCCTTTGCACAATTTTTTTCATATCTTCCAGGGTTTGTAGCGGTGCATTCATTTCTTTAAGAGTAGAAAGTTTGAAAGTTTTTGCAAAAGCTGACAAATTGACGAGAGATACACCTCAAAATGAATCGTTTGTTTTCCGCACCTAATATATATAATCAGTGATCTTTCTACTTTCGAAAATTATCTAGGCCTAGGCGCTTTTGTGATGGCACTAATAGAACGGATATATCACAAATCTGTGGGAGGCCAACGGGCTTGGGGTTGTACTACAAGACTGGTGAGCTCTTCCTGGGAGATGCTGATCTAGGCCTTGTTGTCATACCGTCTGGAGGAGGTCCTGGAATTCAACTTGCCTCCAGTGCAGAGGGAGTGAGATTTGGCTTCCCTGATGGCCTTGAAGTTGATCAAGCAACTGGAATGGTCTACTTTACTGATGCAAGTTCCCGCTACAATCTCAGGTTTGCCAAGACAATCTAACCTTTTTTTTTTTAATTGGCAAGTTCTGTATGCAGGGGAGGGATATCAACCCTGATTTTATACTTTTCCTGAATTTTGATTCAAAACATGTTTTCTTTGCAGTCAAATTAATAATATAGTTTCCAATCGAGATGCAACGGGAAGGTTACTAAAGTACGATCCAAGAACGAAAAACGTTACGGTGTTGCTCAGGGGACTTTCAGGGGCAGCTGGGGTGGCAATCAGTGAGGATGGCTCATATCTTCTTGTTACGCAATTTGTGATAGGGCAAGTTTCGAAGTATTGGTTGAAGGGTCCGCTGGCAAATACAGCAGAAGTTTTGGTAAACATGACAGGAATGCCGGATAAGATCAAGAGGAACACTAAGGGAGAGTATTGGATTGCAGTAACTGTTACAAGCAAAAATTCAACACAACTTCAAGGACAAAGGATCGATGGAGATGGAAATATCTTGGAAACACTAACATTTAGCCCTGATTTTGATTCGTCATTGATCACAGAAGTTCAAGAGTATAAGGGTGCACTATATTTAGCTTCTCTATATGTTGGATATGTCGGGGTATACAGGTGATTTCCGTATAATGTCAAGGTTCCATAAGAGGGGAATTAGATATGGATGTTAAGTTGGATCGATCCTCTGTATATGTGACATCTTGTAATGCCATTTGAGCTGAAATCTGTAATAAGACTATTTTAGTGAATAAATTTCATACCAATTAATAATTACTTGGTCTTTTTCTTTATTTCAAGAGAATATCGATAAGAATCATAATGGCACTGCACAGATACTGTGATTTTGAACATTATAAGTAATATAAATTTAAACTATACTATTGTATAACGTCTAAGATTTTAAAAAACACTTTTGAGTATCTAATTTATAGGCGGTGAAATACTTCATATTCAAGAATAACATTAGGAGATTTCGTTTAGTGTTTCTTTTATAATATTCTTTTTTAAATGGGAGATCTTGAACCGGAATCTCATACTCGTAATTCTTCGAAACTTACCGTCCAAATCCAACTCTTCTCAAATAGTTTAGGTTGTATTATGTTACAATCGACGGTGCTCCTTTTTTTTGTTCCTACTGCAATTAATAGTTGAAAGATATCTATAACTCCCAAACTTATACCATCTATACCTCTGCTCTTTTCTTTTGATAAACAAAGCTTCCAATCCCCGCGTCAAAGTTTGCTGCAACGTAACAACACTGCCAGAATCGTGACGGGACTTCTACCAAAGCTTTTAGCTTTGATCATTTGATGATTTTGACTTAACTGTTGGGGCTACAATAAAGAAAATTTAAACTAGATTAGGCTGATCATCTTCTCATTTAATTTATTATCTGGGAGGACCACCAATCAGTTGGTAGACTATTTATTCAAAAATTGTATACATTTTGCCTCATATATTTTGTACATCAATTAGTTGGTAGACTTTGTCTTCTCCTTTTTAAATTCATTTTATATTGTACCTCTTTCAAGTTTAGCCTACCGGGTTGTTCCATGAAAATGACTTAGGAATCCTACAATAATTGGAAGACCAAATTTTATTTTCTTCAGTATGTGTATAGCTAGTATATAATTGCAAACAAGCACCAATGAATTTGATCAAGGATCCTACTCAGGATTAAGGGAAAATGGAAATCAATTTGAAGCTGCCTAAGCATGATTAAGGAAAAAGGGAACTTGATTAAGGCTTTAAATCCCATCCCAGGGATCCTAAGTATAATTTCCCAATAATATATTCTTGAAATTCACCAACCACGTTATCATTGAATTGCAAGGTTTTCTAAATTGGCTGTTGTTGCATGACTGCCACAGCCACCCAAAAAAATCAGGCACAGGTGTTCTTTTAATAGGGCTTCGAGACTAATTCATATTTACGAGGAGGTAGCCTTTGGACCATCTAACCAAAATTTTCCAATTTTCGACTAGCAATGATTTATACTCCTAAATTTTGAACAAACTAAGGTTGCATTTGATAAAACTGAAGTCTGAAATTTGAAATTTGAAGTTTGAATTCATTAAATTATTGAATTGTTAAATATTAAATCTAATACATTTGAGTACATATCACATTCAGTGATAAGTGAATAACTTATCACTTAATTTTGGGAGCAAGTTTTACTTAGAAAATTAAGTGCCACTTAATTAATCCAGATGTTCAACTTTTTATTATCAAACTGGATGAATATGTTAAGATCTGAATTCATTAAATTTAAATGCTGAATTGAATTATCAAAGAGGGCCTAACTATTGGATAGAGCTTTTCTTCTATAATTACAAGAAAATTATTTACATTGATTATTCTAAGGAGAAATTTTAGATTTTATTTTTTCTGCTGACCAAAATTTTCTGTGTCTTTGTTTTTGGTCACATAGAAGTAATTTGTTCTAATCCAAGAGCAAACCATCTTTTATAACGGGTGCAAATAAAACCTTAAGAATAGTGATATTTTACGCCTCAAAATCGTGATCAACAGCATGAAATTTCTTGACTTCCCTCACCTACGTACATGTGCTTCAGCTAATTATTCTACAAGTAGGTCGAAAGTTGATTCTAGAATGCGACCTCTTTTGATAATCATCCAAATCTCGCATGATACAGAGATGTTCGCGGAATTATTTGGTTTGTCCCATGTAAACTATAACTCGAGATTGACTTTAAAAATAATAATAATGACAAAAAGCAAAAAGCTACAACATGCGATAATTAACACACACATAAGTATGCCTGTATGCTGTATATTTTGTTTTTCTTTTTTTCCCTATAAAAACTATCTAAGGTCAAGTTTATTCTAAAATTATTTTATGTTTTGTGAAGGAAGTGCATAAGTTTATCAACTAAAAAAAAAAGAAAAAAAAAACCTGCCGGCCCCTTTCCGTTTTTTAAATTTCACTCTTCCCCTACTAAAAAATTTAAAAAAAAATTAAAGAAAAATGTAAACGTGAATGTTGGTTTTAAGGGACAAAACATTCTTTGATGAGAATAACTGACATTTTCTCTTTTTTTTTTTTTTTCTAAACTTCATGTTATGGAGTTGGTAGAGGTTTATATACTAAATTGTCTAGTACTCGATATTTCTTAGGGATAATTTCAGAAACCTCCCCGGAGGTTTTTGACATTTACACTAACCTCCCCTGTGATTTGAACAATTACACTGACCTCCCCTGAGGTTACTAATCCTTTACAAATTTAGTCCAAATGATTAAAATATTGTTTTAGAGAGTGAAATTAGAATTTTGTACCTGATTTGTCCTTTGTACTACATGTCCAATGAATGACAAAGTATTACAAATTAATGAATAATTAATAAACTTTAAGGAGCGTAGTTTATAGGTAAATATGTATTACTTATTTAAAGTACCAACTCTTTACGAGTATTTTACTTTCAAACATTTACTTTATTACAAATATTTATTCTCAAATACAGATTTGTATTTACTCTCAAATATTTAATTTTTGTTAAATACAAAACCTACCAGTTTTTCTTCCATAGAAATATTAATATAACACTTTTTCAATTTTAGTTATAAATATTTATGTATTTAACATAAATTAAATGATTCAGGATATAATACTCATAAAGAGCTAATACTTTACTCATGTAATGGATGAAAATCATAAAAAATTAATACTTTATCGGCCATTTCTTTTTTAAAAAAATATTTAATTTATATTAAATAGATAACCTACTGATTTTCTTTTTGCGAGAATATTACTGTAACACTTTTTAATTTTTAATTACAAACGTTAATATATTTATCATAAATTAAATATTTGAAAATAAAATATCTGTAAAGAGTCGGTACTTTAAATAGATTATGTGTATTTGCCTATAAACTATACTCTTTAAAGGAAGGAGTGTAGTTTATTGATTTAAGTAAGGAGTGTAGTTTATAGGCAAATACACATAACCTATTTAAAGTACCGACTCTTTACAGATATTTTATTTTCAAATATTTAATTTATGATAAATATATTAACGTTTGTAATTAAAAATTAAAAAGTGTTACAGTAATATTCTCTCAAAAAGAAAATCAGTAGGTTATCTATTTGATATAAATTAAATATTTTTTAAAAAAAGAAATGGCCCATAAAGTATTAATTGTTTATGATTTTCATCCATTACATGAGTAAAGTATTAGCTCTTTATGAGTATTTTATCCTGAATCATTTAATTTATGCTAAATACATAAATATTTATAACTAAAATTGAAAAAGTGTTATATTAATATTTCTACGGAAGAAAAACTGGTAGGTTTTTTATTTAACGAAAATTAAATATTTGAGAGTAAATACAAATCTGTATTTGAGAATAAATATTTGTGATAAAGTAAATGTTTGAAAGTAAAATATCCGTAAAGAGTTGGTACTTTAAATAAGTAATACGTATTTGCCTATAAACTACGCTCCTTAAGTTTATTAATTATTAATTAATTTGTAATACTTTGTCATTCATTGGACATGTAGCATAAATGGCAAATCAGGTACAAAATTCTAATTTCACTTTCTAAAACAATATTTTAATCATTTGGACTGAATTTATAAAGGATTAGTAACCTCAGGGGAGGTCAGTGTAATTGTTCAAACCACAGGGGAGGTGAGTGTAAATGTCAGAAACCTCAGGGGAGGTTTCTGAAATTATCCCTATTTCTTATTAGTCTTTTCTCACTTGGGAAAAATGCAGTTTTGGTTGTCATGTTTGGTCTGTATACCAAACTGATCCTTAACACTTTGACCAAATCAAAACTGGTCCACAAAAAAAAAAATCTTAGGCAAGTTTATAATAATTGATGGAAATTTAACAATCCTAATGGTCAAAATTAAATTGCCAAAAGCTAAAATTTTTTGTTTTACAATTTTAGTCCCTCAGGTTTGAAATTTGAATAGCTGTACTTAAATTTCAAATAGTGATCTCCAGAAATTTAGGATGAGATGAGATGAGAATCAGATTGAAATTGAACTCAGAATTCTAATTATAACCAAGAAACAACAAGTGAAAAAGCTAATTAAACGAACATTTTTGGATTTAGTATAGGAACTAAATGCTGAGATGGAGAGGAGAAGATTCTTAAGGCATCACTTGCAGACTACACTGTTATCGGTTCTATGCCCTGGTTGTTGATGCGTGATTTCAATATCGATCAGCTACTGCTCTGAGAAATTAGGAGGTACAGGATATGGTCTATCTACCTGTAATATCTGAATTCAGGGAATGTCTTGAGTTTGTTGATGTTGATGACTTACCCAACCAAAAGATATCGCTTGACATGGTGCAACAAACAAGATGAAGAAGATAGACTATTATATTGCAAACTGAACAGAATAATGTGTAATGATGAATGGCTTGCAGCTTTTTCTCTCATTGAAGCTGCGTTTCTAGATCCTTTAATATCTGACCATATTCCTGTATTTGCCCATATTAAAGATGATCTCAATGCAGGTCCCAAACCTTTTTAATTTTAGAAGTACTTGGATGGGGCATGATAAGTGATAACTTGATTTAACGTTCTAACTTAGCCAGGCATGCATATTCATATTTGAAGGGGATCCTGTGAATGTGATTTATAGAAAGCTAAGTCTTTGAAATTTGAACTGAGAACCTTAGATAGAAGAAACTACAGCAACATCTCCTTGAGAACTCAGAAAGCTAGAGAGGAGCTCTGTAGTACTCAACGAACAGCTGCTGATTACCCCTCATGATGGAATGCTTTAGGAAGCTAAAAGACGTTATCAATGTTGCTGTATGCTGAATTGGCTCAGGTAGAGGAGAGTTTTTACAAAGCAAAATCCAGAATTAGAAAGTTGCAAGAGAGGAATGCAAATACAGCATTTTTTTTTTCATAGGAAACTGAAATTTCACTCTGCTCACAGGAAGATCCTTACCTTGACTGACTCCAGGGGTATTAAGCTGACAAATTATGAGGATGTAAAGGCGGAAGCAGTTAGGTACTATCAGACATTATTTAGAAATCAAAGGCCATATTCTGATAATTTGGAAGCAAGGTTGAGTTCCATTATCCAGAATAAACTTACGGCTGAGCAAGGGTGTAGTTTGGTCAAAGATATTACTAATGCGGAAATTCATCAACACTCTGGTGTGACAGCTCCTGGACCTAAGGGTTATACTGTGGAATTTTTAAAAAGGAACTATTCTCTTGTGGGACAAGATGTGATAAATGTCGTTAGATACTATTAATTTCTCCACCGGCACTGTGAGTAATGATCTAAATAGCCCAATTTCCTCCTCAGTGCTAAAAGTTGCTTCACCTGTGTGTTGTAACGTGTTGTACAAAGTTTACTCCAAAGTATTGACAGAAAGATTAAATGGAGCGGTGGATGGAGGGATTTGATATATGTGAGGGAAAAAGGTGATAGGAAAATGTGATCCAAACACAACCTAAGTATTCTAAAAAATTTTTCTTGACCACTGGACCAATCTCAATGGTTACGTATTTTCTTCTCTTAATCAAAGTATGAAATTTGCACAAAACAACACCCTCAGTAGGGTTCTTCAATTATCAAAAATTTCACCAACAGCTATGATATCATGGTTATGCTTTCGTGATATATTTTATTTGAATCAAAAGTAATGCAATCACTAGCCGTAGCCTAGTAGTTATCCGAGTACTAGCTGACGAAACACCTTCAAGTTCAAGGCTTTTATAGACAACAAGGGGAATTTAACAAAAATACGAGGGAGGCAACCGTAATTAATCTAAAAGCTCTTATAATATGAAGCTACCCACGGGCGGACGACCCCCGCCAGTTTGAAAACCCGAAAGGACGAAACACGCAACCGCAACCAACAGTAATTTCACCTCTCTTCAATTGAAAATGTTTGTTTTTTGTGGGCTAATGATTGCATGAAAATCAGTAATTATTGCTTATGTTGTATTCAGGTGAATTGTTAATCACAGTACAGGTTGAAGAGTTTTGGTTTTGGTTTCCGTGTATGCCCGCAAGTTGTTTGACAAAATGCTTAAGAGAAAGCTGATCAGTTGTTCTTGTTTTTCCATGCTATATTGAAAATGATTAGGTAATATATGGATGTCAATCACTGTTATTTGGATGGTAATGCGGATGCTGTGGAGTTTTGTCCCCATGACTCGTTTCAGCATGTCCTCGCTGCCTCCACCTACACGCTAGAAGAAGGTGATCAGCCTAAACGATCTGGTAGCATATCACTTTTTGATGTTGATGCTGAGGTGGGTCGTCTTCAGTTGACTTACAGAGTGGAAACAGCTGGGATTTTTGATATAAAATGGAGCCCAGTAGGGGGAGATGTTGTACCTTTTCTTGCTCAAGCTGATGCTGATGGTTACTTAAGGATACATCGACTTGAATGTTGTGTGGAGAGCTCAGAAACATCGGGTATGCTTGAGACCATTATTGGTTGATGTTCCATTTTTCAATTTGTCTCTTTATTGTTGGTAACTTTATGAAATGTGAGACTGCCTCATTTTCCTTAGTCTCGTACTTTTAGTAAATTCTTATGCTTCCCTCCTTGATTTGTGTAACCTGTGGATATCATTTTCCTACAAAAAAGGGAAACAAGGGAAGAACAAGAATATGAAGATCCGACCTTTTCTGAGATTGCTATCTTTGCTGGTTCTTGGATTGAAGGAAAATGCAAGAAATCTATATCGAAAATGAACAAAATGGACTTTGAAGATTCCAGCCTTTTATGTATAATTCTGCTGAGATGTATTGATTAAAACAAATGGTTATGTACTGTCATTAGAACAGTAAATCACCTCCAACAGCAAAAGACTTCATTTAATAGATGTGCTTTCTTTCATATTACCATGAAATTTAATGGATGTGCTTCTCAGAACTCTTTACTTGTCATGCACAAATTTTAATTGGATATCGTTTCATTTGCAACCTTGAATTACAAAATTATGTTTAGATGTTTATAGAAGCCCGGTTTATTTGCTATCAATGATCTAATAGGCTACTTCAGTATACTCGTCGAAAAGGAAGAAGTTCCAGTACTTCTGTTTGAGTGTTAATATCTAATTGCTACAAGGCATCTGGCTCCGCATGACCATGATGAGAAGACAATTCTTTGTGCATTTAATGTGATCTCAGAATATTTTCCTGGCATGGGATTCAAAGTAATCCTGTTTTGAGTTTGAATGCAAGATAGGATGTGTGAACCTCTGAAAGCTAAATTTGTTAGTTGTTATGTACTTCCAAGATCCACAGTCACAGAAAAAGCTGGAGCTCATTTGTCAACAGCACCAACCTTCCTGATGGTTGGCTGCATTTGAGTGCTTGTCACAAGGTTATATTAGTAGCACTGGGAGCTTTGCATTTGAATTCTGTTTCTAGGCTGGTAAAAGTTGAAAAATGAGCAATATGAACATATGCGTTGCTTGAATGCCAGCCAAAAATCCAAATGTTTCATATGTTTTTTTACTTCACTTAAGTTAAACATATGTGATTTCCAGTTGAAATTCCCTGGTTTCGTCATCTTTAACTATATAATCCATCTTCTTTTGGGATTTATAGTTGTTCATTGATGCAGGAAATTTTCTCAAAGAGTATTGTTATGAGCATGTGAGTTCGTCCATGTGCTTGTGTCTAGACTGGAATCCTTCTGCCACCTCCATCACTGTGGGACTTTCAGATGGGTCAGTCTCAATAATTTCCCTCACAGAGTCGCAGCTGAGTACTGTACAAGAATGGAAAGCACATGACTTTGAGCTCTGGACTGCTTCCTTTGATATCCACCAACCGCATCTTGTTTATACTGGATCAGATGATTGCAAATTCAGTTGCTGGGATCTGCGAGATAGCCCTTCTAAATTGGTATTCCAGAATACAAAAGTTCATAAAATGGGAGTTTGCTGTATCACAAAGAGCCCACATGATGCTAATATTTTACTCACTGGTAGCTACGATGAGAACTTAAGGATATGGGATATTAGATCAATCTCTAGACCGATAAATGAATCTTCGATTTGTTTAGGTGGAGGAGTTTGGAGAATCAAGCATCATCCTTCTACGCCTGTGCTCATTTTGACAGCGTGCATGCATAATGGATTCGGTGTTGTGAAAATAGATGGGGATAAAGCAGAATTAATTGAAACATATCAGAAACATGGTTCACTTGCATATGGTGCAGATTGGCAGAGGGGGGAGCTACATGCAGAAGCAAAGAGAAAGAAGTCACTTGTTGCCACTTGCTCATTTTATGACAAGCTCCTTCGCTTATGGATTCCTCAAGCTGATGTTTATCAATGATCTTATGAAACCTGATGCATAGTATCTGTGAAGATTCCCAAGAGTTTAGTGTCTTCCCCCTTTTATCTATTGGGGTCGATTAGTGGAGATCATTTCAACTGTCCTGTCTACAAGGATGGGTATTTCTGATTCAAGCACTGTATTCGTAAATCATATTGAAACCGGAATTTAGATTATGAATTCAGATGATGAAAATTAAGGTATTTACAGTCACAGAGGATCTTCTGGAAACTAGGACCAAAGGCATCTGAAATTGACATTGGATTTCTGCTCTTTGGTGCTTTGTCTTGTATTAAGAGAGCCATTCTAGCGCAGTTACATTTAATTACGCCCTGATTCATTTCCTGAAAAGGAAGTCGAACTGAAAAATAAAACATAGAAGAGCTGCCATTGGAGTGAGGCATGTTCAGGATTTACCATCTTGTTATGGTGTGGGAAGCGGCAAAAGGATCCAGTAACTCAGGAAGTAGAATGGATAAAGAGAGAGACTATTGATTGTTCGTCTTAATTATGAATTGTCATTTGTCAAGTGGACCGAGCACCTATTGCTTGAGGACATACTGATTTACTTTATGTGATCACTTTGGTAATTGGATATCTCCTGAAAAACTAGTGTTCTTTTGAGGTTTGCAATAATGAAAAGCTTCTAAATTTACTTTGACAAGTTTGACTTCTATAATGCTTTGTGAAACTACTCTGCTTGAGGCATATGGGATCTGTTAACATTTGCATTTGGCCCATGTCTAGTATGTTTGCTTACAACACATTAGAGCTCAGTGCTAGTTTAGGCAGGTGTCACTTATTCTTTCTTTCTCTTTCCCATTTTATCAACTGAAGTTCTAGGTTGTATTCTGAACAATAATACAGAAGAAGAATAAACTTGGTTATCTTGGCAGTTGAGTCAGTCACAGTCAGGCAGACACATAATATATAAACCACAAAACTTCAGTAAGGACCATGTGTTAGGTATTGAGGATGGCAGTACATCTGAATCAACCCTACAGATTTACGGATCAATTTTTCAAACTTGCTTATTGTAACTTCTTAATTTCCAAGACAATCCTCAGTATTATTAGCTCTGGGGTCCTAAGTTAGGTGTTGAACAAAACCCAAATTCTTTGCTGGTCTTTTTTCCCCCCTCTCTTGTAGGTCATTTCTTTAGCTGTATGTAAAGGGCCTTGTATTCTGAGTTTGTGCCACTACCTACTCACCCTTCATTTCATTTGGACTTGCATTTGCTTTTGTCTTTTTATTAAGGGTCACTTTTCTCAATAGTATTTTTTTTTGGTTAACACAGGGAGTATCCCAATTTTATCGGACTAATCTGCCTATACTTGTGTACCTCCCAAAGGAGACACAAGTGTTAAGAGGAGTCGAACCCTTGACCTCGGGACTAAATAGACTTCTCCGAAACCATTTGAACCAACCCAAGGCTTCTCAATAAGATGATGCTCTATAAAAAAGGATGTAAATGGAAATTGACAAGAAGAGAGAGATTGTCGCTGGCTATACATTAGCCCCTCTTAAAGTACAAAATGGAAGAACAAATGAAAAAAGAGATCTTTATCATTCATAGTGATGGTTGTGGTGACTGTTTTTGCGTATGATTTCTATCCTCAAGCCTGACCTCAAAAACGTTATCTCTAGGCACAGTTCCTCCTCTGACCTATCTTTCCTTCTCAACCTAGCACACCTTTACAATTGGTATTATTTATAGAAAGGGGAGAAAAAGAACATTAAAGGGCACTGAAAAGAGGATAGAGAGGCATCCTCCCATCTCACATTGCCCTTCTGAGCTAATTTTATAACAGAGAAACATGCAATTCACTGAAACAAAGTATCACTTTCTTTGAAACCAACCTGAATTTTATGGGAAAGGAGAAGATGGAAGGCAGTGAAATGCCATTTATACTAAGAGAGGAATTTAAACTTTCACTTGGAAAAGTTGATTTTGATCATATAATGATGGCCTAAGAATAAAATAAAATCTTACTAGCTCGCATTACAGTAACAAATTGGTCGAATTCAATGTAATTATCCTCAGATTTCCTTAAAACAAGAGAATTTTAACAGCTTCATTAGTAAACACCAGGAATTTCCTGGGATTAAATGTGATACACCTCGTGTTTCCTTAAAAATGAAAAAGCATATATACCTCATGGAGAGAAATGTTCAAGGGGAACATACCAAAAATGGTAGGTCTGCCATAAATTCAAACAGTTAAAAGTGGAGCAAAGTAGCAAACAGCTGCAAACCTTTGTTGCTTCATGTCAGGGTATTATTACCACATAACTCATTGTTCTTTAATCGTACAAGGTTTTAGGGACAATAAATACAGAGAATGAGCTGGATTAGTAGGGCCTTTGGGGTTAGGATTTATTGATGCTGTACTCTATGGTCTGGCATGTAGCAGTAATAGACTGAATTTAATAAAGATTCCTAAGCCAATATGATGGTTTGTGCACTGGAGGCCATAAGCTGTAAATGCACGTGAAATTAGTACTTTTATGGCCTACAATAAGAGCATAAATAGCTTGGTGTCACAGGGTTCTAAGAACTTCTGTCTAAAATGTACCATACATCTCCATATACAAAATTAATGTGTACGCATCTATTTGTTTATAGTATTGATTCTATAATATAGGAAGCTATCGTATCTGACAAAAAAAAAAGAGATCGATTCTATACATTTCCACTACACAGTAATGTTGAAATCATAAGCAGATTCTTGCTCTCTTGAAACTTCTCTTTTACTAATATATTTAGGGCTTGTCTAACGGATGTTTGACGGAATACTTCATTTATCTTAACATACATATGTAGTATTTGTTTAATAGATGTCCAATGAGTACCTTGTAAAAATGGGTCTCATGTGTTAATTTTTTTAATATAAATTTACGTAATATGTTAAATATAAAATTACTGTATTACTAACAAGTGCACATTAAACGCAAGTTATAAAAAATAAAAATGTGTCCATGTGTATTATCAGTTGCCAGTCCGCCACTAGGCTGGTAAAGATCCTGGCTTGATCCCTCATCAAGGTATTAGTGATGCACCAGCACTACACATTTTAAAATGTAACATCAAAAAACAAAAAACAAAAGGGAAAAAATGTATACCTTACAATAAACTCAATATTCTCTAAAAGATAGTGAATTATATTCAACAATTAAAGACAATTATTTTACTAATTTCTTCCAGAATAAAATGGCAAGATCCTATTAACTAACTATCTTCACACTTCTGCATATCCTGTCGCCTTATGACATTTGTCATAATCATTGTCCATACAGCAGAAGATTATGCAACTCCTGTTGGCCACAACTCCACACTTTGTATTGTACTGTCCCTCTCTACTAGTCCTAAACTTCATCTGTCAAATTTGCACCAATTCTCTTTATTTTTTTCGTTAATTTTCTTGTTTGCTTTCTATTTTTTTTCTTTCTTTCTCTTATTTTATTAGCTGTTGATGGCTGCAGAGGCATTTTCTTGATTTTCTCATAATACTGAAAGCCTCTTGTCCTATTTATGGCTGTATCATTGACTTATAGGTCTGCATGATTCCCTTTCTCTTTGGACTCTCTTCATTTATTTTCCACATCTTATTTCTTTCAGAATCTCTCTCTCTCTCTCTCTCTCTGATCTCTTATCTAGACACACTATACTAGACAGTGTTGCACTGTCAGTCTCATGTGCACAATCCTCAGCAGAACCTTCATCAACCACTAATCCCATTTCTCCAATCCTCTCTCTCTTACTTCAATTATTCATTGCAGCTGCTAATCTCACTCTCCTCCACACGCAGAATGCACATTGCTCATAATCGAAGTACATCTTCCAGTTAACTGAGTTTTCAGTTCCTTTAGAGCTGAGGAGAGAAAAAACCTGTTGCATGCAGAAAAATGCATTGTTGAGATATTCCTAATGGTCCCTTTACTTGGTTTTTAACCAGCTTCAGTGAAGTACTAAGAATGATAAGCTTAAAGAACATGTCATCATCATCCTGGCTGGTTTTGCAGTTATGGGTTATTTTGCTCTTCGGTTTGGGAGCTGTGCGTGGTGATTCAGAGGTTGCTGTCAAGTTGCAAAAGACTCCTCATGCAGTATCTAAAAGGGATTATGCAACATTTCGTTTTGAAGTCGTGGTGAATGGAGAAAGTTGCAGAGAATGTATTACAAACTGCAAGGTTATTTGATGCATGCAATGGTTATTTGGAGCATTGCCTATGCATTACTTCATTGGCTTGCAACTATGCATAATTTTGTTTAGGTTGATGTGTGAAGATGTTTCCTTTTAGTTTCCTTTAGTTATTGGGAATCTTAATTGATAAAATTGGTTAAAGTAACAAACTTTTATCAGCATTTCAGAAAAGTAAACACAATTGAGTACTACTTGTAGCAATCTTTTGGTGGATTTCTCTGCCTTCTCTTCAGAGGCATTCTCTTTTGGTGTTGTTCCCTTTTGAGCTAGAGGTTTGGGAGGAAAAGAAGGACTGGGGAGAAAGTACTAATTTTTTTTTCTTAGGAAAGAGAAGAGCAGAAAAGAAGAGAATGGGGGTGATCCAGTTGCAGCTACAGTTATAGGAAGTCCACTCCAAATTTGAAAGTAAAAAGAGCAATGACAGTGTGAAAGGCTAGATAAAGTAATCATACTGAAATTGGTTAATTTTGTCATCAAGAAGATGCAATTAGTTCAAAGCTAACTTAGCTGGTTTTGGACTTTTTCTGCTGAGTCTTGTTGGGCTGTATTCTTCTTAATTTTACGTCCTTATTCTTCTGCTCACAATTTTCTTCTTGCGTTGCAACTTGCAACTTCAGCTGGATGATGGATTAGCTACAGTCTGTGAGAATAGAAGTGTATCTTATGCACAGCTGCAGGATGGAAATCACACTTTTGAGGTCTGCACCAATGCGTCTCAAGGAGTTGGCTGCACTAGCTATAATTGGAGTGTTGGTTAAGCAATCTTCCTTCAAAATTCACTTTTTTACTTAATAGTACTTTACATAGTCCCACGCTGCTTCTATTCTGTTAGTCATTGAAAGAGTCTCCAGTCTCGGTGCAATTTACTGTAGACATTGGCCTCAACTGATTTTGATCGTCTGTGGTGTTTTGGTTTTTACAACTTAAACATGCTAAAAAAAACAGGGATCGTTTCTTCAATCTTTTAATGAAGTTATATTTCATAATCTGTTAAAAAATCAAGTAACTACTGTGTGTAAACTAAGTATTGCACACACGCATTTGATACAACACATAATCACTTAAGACAGACATAGAAGCAAAATTATTCTTTATCAACTTAACAGGGTGCACATATATTATCAGGACTTGTATCATTGGAAGATAACTTAGACTTTCTCCTTGAGTCCATAGGGATGTGATGAAACAACTTGAAAATGACCATATAATGTATCATCTGGAAGATTGTCTTATTGCTGTATCCACATAAACACTTCATGTGTCAAGTCAATGTAAGATGTCCTCATTATGGAAAGAGTTAGAGAATCTTTATGTATCATATCTTCATATGTGTCCGTCTACAACAATGATATAAGGCTTTACATCAACTCAAGCTTTCTGGATTAACTATAGTGGTGGTAAAGTAGGATGGTAGGTTTTATCAAAGCAAATTTTCTGGGGGCTGTACTGTGGAGCTAAAA